CAACTCAATACAACGGCTGTCTGAATAGGATTCATAACCCCACTGTACACTCATCAAGTACACTCGGGAACACAGCATCTACCTAATCATCCACAGAATACCTAGCCCCTGTCCTCTCCTGCTGGGAAAACTCACACCCTGAGTGCTATAAACTCCCAAATCCCATTCAGAGCAGCAATAGCTTCTGAGTCACACAACCAAATGTAACTAAATGGTCTCATATATCGCACAACTAAGTCCTACCCCTAGGTCGTAACCCACGAAGAAACTCAGGAGGGAACAAGCGAACAAAAGTCGAACGCATATGTACGATCGGATGGAAACTCACCCCACCACTCCTATGTACACACACATCTAGGGCCCGCTCGACTGACTCAAGATATGTACACCCCTAACCCCACCCTGTGTGAGTCAAGGATCTCTAGTCCTACCAATATATAGACAGACCGGTCCCTACTTACACAATTCCTCCTCGTTCTGCTTATATAACTGAGCCCTGCCCCCATCTGGAGCTCGCTCCACTATCCTGCCTTGTCTGTCATAAAATTTGCCGTCGACCTCCGCAACTCGCCCCTCGACCTTATCCTCACGGAGCTCTGGACAGTCCACGCCTCTATGCCCTCCCTCCTTGTACCAGAAACAGGAGGTATCATGCCACCTAGCAGTCTTCTTCTTTCTCCCCTGCAAACTCGATGCCGAAGGCGTCCCCATGGTCTCAGTAGTCACCTCATGACACGAGGGCAACCCCACATGCCCCTGAGGTCCGGGCTCCATAGCCTCAGCACCTCCACCCCTTCGTGCAGCCGCACTCCCTGGCCCGCGCTCTGGCGTATCCAACTCTCGGGGTCCCTCTCCATGCGCCCTCTCTGTCATCATCGCCTCATCCCTACATACTCTTGACGGTTGAGAGCCCCCCATAGCGGCGGGCTCACTCATGACCTCCTGCTGCTGTTGCCGTCGCGAGTCAGGCCCTCCTGAGTCGGTCCCCGTGGCCCAGGAGCCCAACTCCGCCCTCAACTCCCCCAACCTCGGGGCATGCTCTGGAGCGTCGAGTCCCTGAGGCCCCTCCTGTGGAGTGCCTATCCCCATGGCTGCCGCCAGCTCATGCAAGCGCGAACCTCTCCTCTCCGTGGACATAGCCATAAGCGACTCCTGCGCGCCACTCTCCTTCTCGACTACGTCCAAGGGCGCCTCCTCCATTGGCTCGGCTTGTCGAGGGACCTCCACCGCTGCTCCCTGACCCGGCGAAGCCTGCACCCCTCGGCCCTGGCTATCGGCACCGGCTCGCCCCATCTGGCTAGCCTCCYAGGCTGCCGAGAGCCTAYCCACAGCGGCCGCCATCTCCMCAAATCTCCTCTCCCASTCAACCTCTCTAGCCCTRCTCCTCGCCCTCTCCTCGGCAAGCTGMGTAGTCAGGTGCTCCACCTCCAACTCCTTAACYMTGAGCTCATTGYTGAGTAGATTATACCACTGRAAGGATGTGACTGCCGTCTCGCATACCCTCCGATCCATGCGCTCAATCGCCTGCCTGGTCGCGGAGAACCCCAAGTCCCCCATCTCTCTCAACTCACTCRTCTYCTCGTCCGCCTGTCCYGCCTCTCGTGACCTCWGGCGGGCTGCATCCCTCTGGCTCTCATACCTAGCCCACAACTCGTCGATCCTCTGCTCACTCGTCTTGGGCTCGACCGGCGGTGTCGGCTCTATCCCCGCCGCCTCCATCTCAGCCTGTCTTGCGTATATCTCGTCCAGACGGACCCGCACTCAGGCGGACTTCTCTTTGCGGGTCTCTCTTGGGGTTCCTCCCATTCGCGGCCCCTGGTCTCCTGGAGTCGACGCCTCCGCCTCCGCCTCCATCCCTGTGCTCGCGCGCGGTACTACTGGCGGTAACTCTGCTGAAACGGGCTCCTCGATATCCGAGCTCTTGGTCGCCTGCGTGGCCGAGGGCAAGTCAAGGAGCGCCTCCATCCTCGCTCTCTGACACACACCCTGGTTCTCCGCCTCTGCCTCCTGCTCAGGTATAGTGGTGGCCTTGGGGGGAAACTCCGGGATCTCCTCGCTGCCTGGCTCAGGAATCCCCTCTGGCCATGAACGCTGTGCTGGCTCTGGAGCTGGGGAGCATGGAGGGGTATCGTCCCCAACCGTGATCACCTCTCTCCCCTGAGGTCGTACTGGATCCGGCCGCTCGGCTGCCATCTCAAGGTCCTGCGGCTCCTCTCGGTCTCGCATGTCTGTCTCCATCTCAGGGTCGAGGGGCTCCTCCAATGGCACGTAGCACGCCGGCTCAACTGAGCCCTCTCCCAGCCGTGAGGCCTCCCATTGGGATACATCGAGATGCGTCGCCAAGCTTCGGAACGGCGTCTCTCTTGGTATGTCTAGCTCCTGCGTTGATGGCAATGGCGAGGGCGGCCTTAACTCCTCGCTCGTAATCCGCCGAAACTCAACCGCCCTGAGGCCACAAGCAGGGAACGACTCCCTTGCCAATGCGGGCTCTACTGGCTCATCCTCCCGCTGGGCCGGGGCTCCCCGTCCCTCTCTGGCCAGCCCCGCCTCTCTCGGTGCCGGTTCCCTTGGCCTCTTGCTTCGCCGCCGCCTCTCAACTCTGGGCTCGTGCCTCTCGTGTTGTGGCCATCCGAACGCCCTCCTAAGCTGGGCCTGACAGTCCTCCCAGTCTCGAGCCCTCTCCTGAATTTGCTTGACCGCCTGCTTCTCTGCCCGCCTCGTCCAGATAAGTAGGGCCTGCACCCATTCCCCCTGCGCAACCCCCAGACTCAACATGTAGTGCTCATATGCGGGGATGAACTCATCAGCATTCCCCTCCTCCAATCGAATGGGCATGCCATCACGCCCCCTAGGGGAAACTCTCAACCTCTGCATCCCGGCSTCCACGTCTGGCCAAGTCAGGGTCTCCTCACATATCTGAGCGAAAGGCTCCTCGAATCGCCCTATGCCCCTCAAGTGGTGAATCCTTTCCGCCATTGACCACCCTCTCTCTGCCGCATGGTCCCGATATACGTCCAAGAAGAGCTCAATGTTGTCATCATCAAACTCAGGCGTAGGCTCCCTCCTATGCGGCTCGTGCTGCTCGCCCCTTCCCTCCATCCCCTGGGGCCCCTGGCGTGGCCATGTGTCCCTCCCACCCCTCTGCATGACTGCCGTCGAAAAATCAGACCTGCACAACAGGCGAGAGACAACAAGCATGCACACAGTAGGGTCAGCAACCGAGCCATCGGCCTAGGGAAATCCCACATACACTCCACACCCATCCACCCCAATCACCCACCTGTCTAGCCGTCCGACCCGGGTAATACATAGGCAAGACTCTATCCCTAACGAGGTCTCATGGCCCCTTACCTATTCCTTGGCCACGAACTTCTTCAGCCTTGTCCCTGATACCCAGTCTTGCCATCCTGCCCCGTCCAGCTCCTCAATTTGGTAGGCCCCAAACTCGCCACACCGCACGATCCTATAGCGTCCCAGCCACCGTTTGTCGAGTTTTCTGGACCACTGCTTTTCCAGCGAGGACTCATACAGCAGCACCACATCCCCAACCTTCAGTGGATCCTTCCTTATTCAGGCCATCTGGTCCTACCTCATCTTGTCTTCCATGCGACTTCTCTCCACCTGACCAGCAGCCTCTCGTAGCCTTTCTTCAACGGCCCACACCTGCCGTGCTCGTATATCGAGCAGCTCCTCAAAGGACAGGTCCACTTCCAGATCCTGGCACCTCCACGTCTTCATGAAGCTTTCTATGGGAAAGGGGGCATGCCTTCCGTACCATAGCGTGGCTGACGCATACTTGGTAGTCCTTTTCACTGTAACATTTTCCACGAAAAATGCTGCTCTCAGGAATTTCGGCCACTGGTTAGGCTTCCCTTCAGTCCATTTGGCCAGGAGATTCGTGATGGTACTATGCCCCCTCTCCACAGGCGCGTTTGCCTGGGGGTGCGCGGCAGTAGTGTAATTTGCTATCACGCCGTATCCCGCAAGCAAGGTCCGCACCTCGTTACAAGTAAACTCCGACCCCCGGTTCATCACAAACTCTCTGACAAATGGATAGCGCAAGAAGTCCTCTTCGATGCACCTTGCTAGAACTGGGTCAGTTTTTGTGCGGATAGCCCGACCGTCCACAAACCCAGTAAGGTTGTCCCGTGCATCGAAGATATAGTTACTTCCATCCTCCCCAAGTGGCATGAACAACAGGTCCAGGTGTACAATTGCCCCCACTTCCCTTTCCAACCTGGGGTGTAGAGGCTCCCCAGGCCTTTGCGCCGACCTCTGCTGGCAAGGCACACAGGACTGGCAGTACTTGATGACCATAGTCAGCATTCCATCCCAATGGTATAACTCACTTATCTTCGCGCACGTGGCACTAACCCCTCTGTGCCCCCCTGCTATACCATCGTGCAAGGCTGCTATGACATCGATCTGTCGGTTCCTTCCACATACGACCCTCTTGGGGTTTCAACTTGTCGCTTTATGAACAGATGGCCATCTCTCACTACGTAGAGATGCCTCATCTTCTAGGTTTTGGCACTTGCGTCCCTATCCCTTATTTCGCACGACAGGAGTAACCCCAATTCCCGATAAATTTTGTCATACTCCTCAGCACGGAAGACCTCCCTAATCTCTCCCTCTTCGAACTCGTCGTCCTGATTTTCAGTAATGAGAATCTCGCCCTCTTCGGAGCTGGCTGCGCTCCTCTGGTCAAAGTTTCCTTGCAGGAGCGTGTTGGTGAGCAAGTACATCCCTCCCATTAGTTGTTCATGCTCCTCTACCTGGGTCGGACCTTCCTCTATCATCCTTACCTCGTCCGCTAGACTATGTGTCCTTGCCATTGTCAGCCTAATTATCTAGCCAACATCCCTACTCCCCCACGGATCTTCTTCCTGGAAGGGCTTGAGGATCAACTCCTCCTTCTGCTCGTACCCCCTTGGTGCTAGCCATATAGGATGCGTGACACAGCTAGGCACCCTCAGCGACCACTCATTTATGTGGAGGCGGACATCCTTCTTCTGATCCAAGAACCCGTCAACTGGTGGGGTGTCCTCAATTGACTCTTGACCCGCTCCATCCCAGTTGATACGGCTCAGCCCATCTGCCCTGTTCTTGTCCCTGGGAATCCTCTCCAACTCAAAGTTAAACATCCAAATGTAGGTCAACCACTTCGCGATGGTTGGGTCAGATGGAGTATAACTTTTCACGGAACACGCAAGCGCAGTAGGGTCCACCCTCAAAATAAGTCTCTTGCCAAAGATGTAATTACGGAAGGTCCTTAGGCAATGGAGCACCGCCAACGTTTCTTTCTTGAACTGCGAGTAATTTCTTTCAGTCATATTGAGGGTGTGACCTTCAAATCTCAGCGGCCCCTCCTTCCCATCAGCATCCGCCTGAATCAGGACTCCTCTTAAGGCAGTTGGCCCAGCGTCCGTCTCGACAACGAATGGCTTCTCCTCCGTGGCCTCGTAGTTCGGCGCTCCTAGTACCAAACCTCCTTCCTTAAATTCTCTCTTCATCCTTTCCACAGCCCTTTCTTGGTCCTCGCCCCAGACCCATTCCTGATCCTGACGCACCAACTTTCTTAAAGGCTCCATCTTGGTGGCGAAATCCTTCACAAAACTCCTCTAAAACCCGCAGGTCCCAATGAAGCTCCTCACGTCCGTTATCGACTGGAAGGGGACTGACCACTCCAGGATCTTGTCCGTCTTCTTTACATCTGGCCTCCGCCCTTTCTCGTTGCAGACAAAGCCCATAATCGTGGCCTCCCTCATGCAATGCTTCGACTTGGGGCCACTCGCCGTCAGGTTGTGTTTTTCCAGCAGACCCAGAACCTGATCGATATCCTGGACGTGCTTCGAGACAAACCGCCTCACTCTTGGCATCACTTCGTCTTCCTCCTTCTCCTTTGGACCCTTGACCGCCAAGTCGTTAATGTCGGGCTGAGTGATATGTGGACTAACTGTCTGCATGGCCCTAATCATGTGCCTTTGCACCATTGCCACTGCATTAGTCCACCCCTGAGGTGCCACGTTCATGTGGATCAGCCCCCTTGGCGTATGCATTGCCGTCACTGGCCTATCCGGTGGGTATACAGAAAACTGGTCATACCCAGAGTAAAGGTCTATAAGTGAGATTACAGGCCTTCCTGCGCATGACTCTGACAGGGCGTTCGTGTTCGGTAACCCTCCCGCGTCCCGCACCGTCACTGCATTCAATCGTTGCAAATCCTGCACCCACCGTAGCGTTCCGTTTGGCTTGATAAAACAAAACCAGGGGGAAGCATACGGTCCACTGGAGTAATCTGCCACATACGTCCTCATCTTCCCATCCAAGTAATCCACCACCTTCTTCTCCTCATCCGGATTCGGATACCGCGCGCCCTTCAGGTTCCATGGCTCGTGTGGGACGGTATGGATTCGTATCATTGGGATCTTATCCACGTCCAACCTCCCACGCTCGTCATCATTAAACGCATACGCGCAATGCCTCATCTTCATGGTTTCCACCATCAGGGTCCTTTCCTGGGGCGAAAGGAACTCGGGCTCGCCAATTATCAGCCCTTCCTCATTCTCATTATTGATGCGGCACGACCCTGCCTGCGAGCGCTCCTGCATACATCTTATCAGTCCTCGCTCCCGCTCATAGTAGGCTTCCTCATCCTCCGTGACAAGCACGGGGACCGGGCGGCACCTCTTGTCTATAGTCTTGTACCGCCTTTGGGAACCCTGCTTAAGCCCTCCTCTAAAAAAGGCCGACTTGTCGTTTGGGCCTGGGCCATCGCAGGGTCTCCCCTCCTTCCTGGGAGCCGGTATATCAACTCCACCTCTCCCGCCTGAGGGCTTTCTAGGACGTGCTCTATCAACGCCTTTATGGCCTCGGGGTCTGCCATATCATGCGCCACCACCACCTCCATTGCCTTATTCACATCGTTAAGGCTCAAGGACAACACCTCGCCTGCTCCTTCCTCCTCTTGCTCCTCCCGGAGTCTCCGTCGCGCGTACTCAAACTCCTCGAAGGTAAAGGAGCCGAGGTTGAGCCTGTTCCTTCCGCTTCCGGGCCCTGTGTTCCGGCACTTGATGATTTCATAGTTTCCGCAAGCCGGATCAGATAGAGCCAGGATCATCGTCCCCTCATACATGTTGAAGACCACGGTCTCCGTTCCGCAGAGGAACGACCTCCCCAAAAGAATAGGGTCGTCGACGTCGGGCATGACGAAGAAGCACGTCCGCGCCCTTACTCTCCCAATCTCTACCATCACATTAGACGTGGTGCCGCAGAAAATGGCCTTGCAGTTGGCGCCATGTAACACGCCATGGTCCGAATGGTCGACCTCCAGCCCCAACATGGTCGCGTCCCGCTCCCGGATGATATTCATCTCCGCGCCCGTGTCCACCATTGCAATGCTCGGTTGGTCCCTCACCTTCAGGTCCACCAACCCACATGCCACACATTTCCAGTCCATCCTGGTGCCCGCCTCTGTCCACTCTATCTCCCTGGGCAGAATTGAGCTCAGGTGGACATTGGGCATTAACCTTCGCGAGAGCCGCCCTTTAAGCTCGCCACGGAGCCTTGGTGCCGACGCCAAAATGTCCTTTAAGTTCATCAAATCGTTATGGCCCTCCAGGAGTTTGTCCACCATTCGCTCCACGTCAAAACCTTCCTCAAGTCGAACTGCGTACCTTTTCCTCTTTGGCACGCCATCATGCAGGCTTGGCTCCATCCCTCCCTGAGCCCCTCTCTTCTTGGCCCTCTGCTCCGCCCTCCGGTCCTTCTCTTGCCGGAGATTCTCGTCCTCTTCGTCATCACCCTCATCTTCCTCTTCTTGAACCTCCACCACTTCTTTCCTTCGTTCAGGCTCAGGCTCCTTTCGAGGAGGCGCCCGACTAGGTGCCTGGCTAGGCACCTGACTGGCGGTAGCCTTGCTTTGGCCCCTAGTCTGCGCGGCCTGTGGTACCCTTCCATGCGACGTAGGGGGCCTGAAGGTCATCCCTGACCTAGGACCTGTCCCAGCCGTAGCCACACTTGGGCACCCTTGCGGTCCCGACGATGACTCCGGGCCGGACCCATAGAGCATCACTTCAGGGAGGCTCATTTCCCACTCTCGGGCCTTTTCACACATTGCCCTTAGCCATTCCTGATACCTGCCGACCTTTGCAAGCAGGTCCTCCATCCTCTCTAGGATGGTTGAGGCTGACTCTCTCACCACCTCCTGCGCCTCATCGTCGGACTCAACAACTATAGGCTCCTCCTTTATAGTCCCCGCCTTCGGCTGCTGGGTCACTTCATCATTTTCGTCCACAATCTCCTCGACTCTTACACCCGGGTCTTGCCTTTCCTGCCATATCCTGAACATTGTCGGGGCTGCTAGAGGCCCGGCCGCTGCCCGCCTAAGGGCTTCCTGCCTGATTCCTCCCGGGGTCTTGGGGTCAATGTGCGTTCCCCACCGGTCGTATATATCCCCGTCCATACAGGTGAAGATTAATCCTGCCTTTTCGTCGCCCCGCCGCTGTTGGCAGAATCGTACGGTGTGGCCCACCTCGGCACAATGCCAACAAGTTGCGCTCCGCCAGTCGAAGCGGGGCCTCCCATACCCTTGACCCCCTCCCTGGCTACCTTGGCCATCCTGGTTTTGACCCCCTTGACCATTCCAGCCTCCTCCACGGCCTCCACCATTTCCTCCTCGCCCCCGGCCGCCCCCTCCTCTACCTCCTTGGCCCTGGCCCCCATTGCCCTGCCCGCCTTGTCCTTGGCCTCCTCCCCCGGCCACACTAGCTTGCGAGGCCTGCTGGGAGGACGGCGGTTGAGTCACGGGCTGGCTTTGAGTCGCCGGGTAGCTCGAGGGGCCCATACTTGCGGATGGGCCTGAATAGGGGGCCATGTGCCCCGCGTGGGCCTGACTCCTTCCACACGAGACGCAGTGGTTACAACTGGGCCAGGGCGTAGATTGGCAATGCGGCACCCAGTATCCACAAGATGGCGGCGGCCCCATGTGCGATGATCCGGCTGGCGCGGGCTCTGTGGCGGCCGCGGCGACAGGTGGTGGTGCGGCAAGGGCTTGGGGAACCTGCCCTTTCCCTGATCCCTGTCCCCCCAGTAGCAGATTACGTTGCTTCCTCTGGGCCTTAGTCAGGGCTTGGGAGCCCGTCTCCCCTCCGCCGTAGTCTTCTCGCCCTGCCTCCTCATCTCCTACTCCTGACGCCCGGGCTTGGGCCACTGCCACCACTCTTTTCTGTAGTTCTGCCTCACTATCATACCCCAGTGCCACCAACACGTCCGTGACTATTCTCTTCACCCCTGGGGTCCCGGATGCAGTAGCATCCCTCTCCTTCCTCTTGTGCCTTCGCAACCTCATTTGGTGCTGCTCCACCTGGTCCAGGCTCCCTTCTTCCACTCCCTTGTCAATGGTCGCCCAGGTGAGCCTCTCGCTTCCTTCCCCATGCTTCGTCAGCTCTATGGCCTCCGAGCCTGAAAGCAGCCCCAAAAATGTGGCGCACTGCGCCTCCTCATAAATCCCGTGCACTTTCCTCGCCCTTTTCTTGAACTCGTGCACAAACGCCCCAATGGTAGAGAAGTCTTCTTTGTTCATGGCCTCCAAGTCGGCTATGGTCAACAGGCCGTCCCCCAGCCTATACTTCCTTCGCATTAGGTCTCCAAACTTTGCCCAACTGCCACTGGCTGCGTCCACAACCTTAGTTACTTCCCGATGGTGACTGTGCAAGACATACCTCAGGACCCCCTGGAGCTTGACCTCATCTGACAGTCCCACCGACGCCTTCTCTGTCAGATCCAGCCAATCAGATACCCGATCCCCTTTGAAGTGGAATGTCTCGACTTTTGGGACATTGCTTGGCACCCTCTCGCGCTTGTCCAGGGCATCGATGAGGTCATCGAGCGTCACAAGCTTCCTCCCACCGTCCGCCATCTCTTCTGGCATCTTGGCCAACCACCTTCGACTTCAATCTTCCTGTTATAAGAGACGATGGGACAGAGGACCCCACTCAGCGACTCAACCTTTCATGACCCTATCGGGTTGACCACCTTAGACACCCCACACTCTAGACCTGGCAGGCATTCCTTCTCCTACTTTCCGTGGGCTCACCTAGATAACACCTACCCCCCCCATAGGACTTCCCCACACACTTACTTCATTCAAGATGTCAACCAAACTGCCAATCAATCAATCATCCAACCCATAGTCACTTAGATCACCTTACATACATCTCATAGTCCTTCTCTTATCCACTCATATGCCTAGTTTCTCGCTTACTCTCATACCCGGATGTCGTTCCACCAGGGACAACGGTAGGCTTCCGTTATCCCCGGCAACGGCGCCACCTGTCGAGCGCATCGGTCCAGCACCGCGGGACCCTCTCGGCCACGTCACGCAGGAGTTGGACCAACCTCGTCGCGAACACACAAAAGGAGCTCCCGTAGGCCGCTCCGGCCGAGTGCGCCAGCCATACCTCTCACGAGCCCCTACGACAGGATAGGGCCTACGCGAGGCACAACTTACCTCCACCTTATGGGAGCTGTGACCTCCCTTCGGTGGGCGTATCCCCGCCGAGCTACCAGTCCACAATACGAAAGCTACTCGGTTGCAATCGCAGAGGTGGACCAGTCGAGGGCATTTCTCGTTCGCTGTAGCATAGGGGGTATGCGCGGTAATACGCCTATCAGACCCGCACGCGAACCGACATCTTGGGGGGCTGAAGTCCCAAGCACGACTCGTCGTCGGTCGACTAGGACGCATCCCACACCCCACGCGCACACCACAACCACACGACAACAACCCGCACACATACACACGGAACGACTCAACGCAAACAACGCGGCAACGCTCCTAGCCCCTCAGTAGCCAACCCATAACTTCCCCACGCGGAAATAGGATAGGCGTCGCGTGCGAGACTTAGTATAAAAATTGCGCGGACGCAGGGCTAACTCATATCGACTCGTGATGCAAACGCACGCAAGCGGTCGCTACGATGGCGTACCACGTGGTACCCATACTCGTGCGGTCCTCGTTAATCTCGAGGGGTCGCGTTCGACACTCAAGTGTCGGCTGACACGCGCCTTGAGGGTTAATCTCTCGACGCTGGACAACCGCCATGCGCGGTTGAAGACCACACACCCTCTTCTGCACCCTTATGCAGAGTGGGTGGTACACAGACCCATGCCTGTGGTGCTAGTCGTCTCTCGCGGCCCTAGGGGTGAGTCCTCCCCGGGGCCTGGGCGAAAGTCAAGGGCCTTGACTTTGACGGCTGCCACGAACTACAACGTCTAACCATAAAAATCTTGAAGAAGCAACAAGACTCGCACGAACCCAATAAGAGGGGATAGGGCAAAGGTCTCATGGCCCTTAAAATAAAACTCATGGTCTTGGGACACACTTCCCCTCTATGGGCGGTGCCGGTGGCTTATAATGATCCTAAGCGCTGCGCCTACGCACAAGCCCGGCGGTCCCATAACTTTTAGACGCCGGTCGGCGAGGCGTCGCGCGCAGGGCTCTGATATAAAATTGCGCGGCCGCAGGCCAACCCTATGCCAACCACTGATGCCAATCATATGTGGTAACCGCGGCTTAGGCCTCGCGATATTGAATGGTTGAAGGAACTCATTGCGAGGGGTTACCCCTCACAATATTGAACGGCTGAAGGACACACCGTTTGGCCCTCGCGACGTTCCCGCCTTTCAGATGGAGTGTCCCGCCAGCCAAAGTAAATAGGCTCCATGCAAGGGGAGGCCCCTCCTCTTCAGGGCCTAGGGCTTGGGATGTCCTGGACAAGGACCTCGAATCCCAGCCCAGGACCAACGTCCAACTAAGAAAGCCCCAAGACGCAAAATAGGCAGGAGGGAGGGTTTTCCCTATCCCTCAATCCCAGCTCTCACGCAACTGCTAACATGGCCCTTTTGGCCCCCCGAACACTCATCATACGTATATCCACGCATACATACAGAAGGGGGGATAGAGTTATGACGATCACCTCTCACAGGCACAGTAGGACTACTCACGACCATGTATATGTATATGGAATCGCAGGCAGTCCAAATCCAAAATCCGAGCCACAGGACATACCTGCAACCACACCAAGAATCAAGCGACAAAACACGCACTACACGGAGTCAACCCCAACCATTCTCTATGCTCATACCCCTTCGCTTTAGCCATGCAAGCCCCAGCTGCCAGCCCAACCAACCTCAATTAAATACTCAGTATCTTTGTTAAATGGCCATTCAATAAAAGTCCGGGTGGAACCCTTAACAAACAGTAAAAACCACCTGGGCTAAGGCCTTTTAGGTTGAGTATGGGGAATGAGTTGAAATTGAGTCGAAGACCGACGAATCGGCAACCGACCTGTTATCAGTGATAACAGAAGACGATCCTCCAGGGATCAAGTTGAATGTAGTTTTGATATTGAATCGAATGATCAAGACGACCTGTAACACATGACAGGCCAATCCTCAAGCTGAGATCATGAACGCATGGGGAATACAACTCCATAACATATTCTCACTCAAAATCTCCTAACTAGCTAAGCCTGAATCTACTTCGAGGCGGTGCCCAAAGCGAAGGCAGACCCTGGTTGAATCTCCCCTATTCAGGGTGGATCGCCAGAATCGCCATCTGTCAAAATATAATCTAGCTCCTCTAAATCAAGAAAATTTCGGCAGCGCTTCCTGTAGGAAAAGTGTCTCTCCAAAGTTTATATCAGCCCAAATATGAAAACAGAAATAATCTCCAACTCTGGAAAGCCAGATTCTATCTAACTCCCTGAATTAGTAGAAATTTGGACAGCACTCCCTTTAGAAAGGGAGACTTCCCAGATTTATATTAGGTCAGATATAAACTCACAAGGCAACTTGAGTTCAACTTAGACAAGTTTTGACTAACTCCTTAGTTTTGCAGAAATTTCGGCAGCACTCCGCCTAGAAAAGTGTTTTCCCAAAATTCATACGAAGCGAAGCTTAGAACCTGAGACTAACTCTGGCATCCCAAAGCCCAATTTTGTCTAACTCCCTGAATTAGGAAAAATTTGCGCAGCATTCCCTTTAGAAAATGAGGCTTTCCAGATTTTTACTAAGTCAGATATGACGAAAGGACGAGCTAAACTTTGGAAAGTCAAAATTTATCTAACTCCTTGAATCTGTAGAAATTTCGGCAGCGCTTCCCGTAGGAAAAGTAGCTTACCATAATTTATACAGGTCCAAGTATAGTAACAAGACTCAGGAAATGCAAAAATTGGTCTAAGTAAAATAAAGTCAGCTCAACAAATGCAGAAATTGACCTAACTCCTATCGCTCTAGCACGTGGCGAGCCTCTAAAACAACTACCTGTCAACCTGAAACCCAGACCAAGTAGTAGTCTCACTCAGCCTCATGCAGACCAAACCACAAAGGTAAGTACTCTCGCAATTCCCAAGTTCTTTCATCAACCAATAATTCATGCTTTCCCAGTGAGTTACCCCTTTATACCCAACTTACATAAGGCATAAGTCAGGGCACCTGAACTTAGAGAGCACGCCCAGCTTAGCCAGGCCCAAAGTCAGAATACCTAAACTTATAGAGCGTTCTGACTTGGCTAAGTATACACAAACAGAGGGCACAACTACTTCTCTTCTTCTTTGGGCATGTGACTAGACCACTCTAGTCGCCCTGAACTGTTTAATTAGCCAAATTGTATATACCTCTCTGAACTTAGTCTTCAAAGGGACATAAGGCTGAGCCGCTCAACTTAGAACATTGTTCAGCCTGTCCACATTTACCTTCAATTATATCTTTTAATTATACTCTCTTCAGTTGTGATAAGCTATAGTCAGGCTACCTAAGCTTATAGAGCGGCCTGACTAGCCTGTTCTTAATAGCATAGTAGTACAATATAGCCAAGTTATATCCATTGGGTTCCAACATGTGCGAGGCATTGGGTCAGACCACCTAAACTTATAGAGTGGTCTGATCCTCAGCTAGGTTCGTTTCTCTCTGGTCCAATCTGTGCTAGGCAGTGGGACAGGCTACCTAAACTTATAGAGCGGCCCGTCCCTTGCCAAGATTATTCCCTCAAAACAAAACAGAAAAAAGGTTGAGCCACCTAAACTTATAGAGCGGCTCAGACCTCCTTGTTCAGAACCAAAGAAACTGAGAGAATTCCAAGTAAACGAGGCAACCCAAGGCACCTAAACTTATAGAACGCCTTGGGTCCCTGAAAACCACTTACAGTCAAATCCCCACAAGTCAGAGCAGTCAGGACACCTAAACTTATAGAGCGTCCTTACCCTCCATGCAGTTCACAGCACCAGGTCTCCCCAAACTTATGGGGGCATCCCAGCCTTCAGATCTTCAGGCTACTTAAACTTATAGAACGGTCTGAGGCTCCATACAAACCAAGAATAAACAAAGCGTCGGGCTTCCCCAAACTTAAGGGGACCTCCCAGCCTTAGTGACCCAGTCAATCTACACACAATATTGTCTTCCTCCCAACCTTCCCCCAGATGCAACCCACCTCGTTCACAATATGCTTTCAAGCAATCAACAAAACTGAAGCTGAGATTACACACACACTCCTTTACTTCAATCTAACTTAGGTCCTGACAGCCAAACCAAAATCAGAGTACAGGATCCACTCAATACGCTCAATCAAACATAGAGAGATGTACAGGTAGGGGTTATAGTTGGGTTTATAGAGGGAGTCAAGGGATTACCACTCAGTTCCCTGCCTCCAGGACTCCGCCTGAGTCCCGGCAGAGCTCCCACAATCGGTGGGGCAACCTCCCACGGAGGCCTTGGCGCGGATTACGGGCCACACACCCGCCTGCCGCCTTCCCCTAAGAACCAAGGGAACAGACTTAGAGTAAGAAGGGCAGGATGAGAAGGAGTAAGACTCTCAGACTCAGGAAGGACACACTCAGACTCACTTGAGAGGGCCTTCGATCCTTCAACGCTTGAGGGCCCCGCAATGGCGGCCAAGGAAAACGCAACAACTTCATCCAGTGACGTTAGTTGTC